AGCAGAGAAACAGCAGCAGCAGAACCAGGAGACCAGTGCAAGACAGTGCTGGAACAACCTACAGAGCAAGAGAGCTGAATGCCTTTGGCAGGAGACTTCCTGGCAGAGTGGGGTGCCTCCAGGCACTTATCAGTGGAACTACAGAGCTTTGGAACACTTGCCCCAGCAGGGCAGATGCAGGTGGTGAGTGAGGCCTGAAGGGCTGAGAGGCCAAGGAACCAGAAAGCAGAAGCTGAAATGACAAGAACACAGGAAGCAGAGCTGCCTCAGTCTCAAAGGGTAGGGCCACGACCTCTGGGGTCTCAAAGGGTGGAGCCATGGCCTCTGGGGCCGCCCAAGTCTGAGGGAGCAGAGTTGCCATACCAGTGGGCCTGGGAAGCGGAACTGAAGCCCAGGGCCAACGGGCCTCTGCCCAGAATCCGGACAATGTGGCCAATACCTAGAGTATGGAGAGCACAGAGAAGAGAGGATTATTTTCAAGCCTTGAGGGCTAATGTAATGTGTTCTGCTGACTTGCTTGTTGCCTGTTATCCCTTCTTTCCCTCCAATTTCTCCCATTTGTAATAGAAATGTCTAGCTTGTGCCTGTTCCACCATTGTACTTTGGAAGCAGATAACTTGTATTCTAGATTTTACAGATGAGGAATTTTTGAAGTTGACTTAAGACTTTTGCTATGATATGATGGGGTGAATATGTTTTACATGTGGCAAGGACATGAATTTTTTGGGGCAGCCAAAGGGTGGAATGTTATGGATTGAATTTGTCCCCCCAGAATGTGTCAACTTGGCTAGGCCATGATTCCTAGTATTGTGTGATTGTCCACTATTTTGTCATCTGATGTGATTTTCCTATATGATGTTAATGAAACAGGACTAGAGGCAGTTATGTTAATGAGGAAAGACTCAATCTACAAGATTAGGTTGTGTCTTAAGTCAATCTCTTTTGAGATATAAAAGGGAGAAGCCAGCAGAGAGACAGGGGGACCTCATACCACCAAGAAACAAGAGCCAGGAGAATAGTGAGTCCTTTGGACCCGGGGTCCCTGTGCTGAGAAGTTCCTTGACCAGGGAAGATTGATGAAAAGGACCTTCCCCCAGAGCCAACAGAGAGAAAGGCTTCCCCTGGAGCTGGCACCCTGAACTCGGACTTCTGGCCTCCTCGACAGTGAGAGAATAAATTTCTTTGTTAAAGCCATCCACTTGTGGTATTTCTGTTATAGCAGCGCTAGATAACCAGGACACTTCCTTTCTTCCTTCCTTCCATCCTCCCTGCTTTCCTTCCATCCATCCATCCTTTTTTCTTCTTCTTTTTAGAAACAATATTATGTATGTCTTGTCTTATAATGATCAGTCTTACTTGTTTTGATTTCCTTCAGAACCTTGCAAAGTGTTCTGTATTTAGCAGTAGCAGGTGCTTCAATAAATATTTGTTGAATTGCAATTAATAGCTGATTAGAAGTGGGGCAGGGGCCAAAATGACCAAGGGTTCAAGCCTGGATGAGAGGGAGAGAGGAGAGCTGGCCAGGGTGGAAGACACATTGAATTGGAGCTACTGGCAGGTTATTTAAAAACCAGTTGCTGAGTCGATTCCTACTCATGGTGACCCTATGTGTGTCAGAGTAGAACTGCGCTCAATAAGGTTTTCGATGGCTGAGTTTTAGGAAGTAGATTACCAGGCCTTTCTTCTGAGGCACCTCTGGGTGAACTTGAACTTCCAACCTTTTGTGTAGCAGCCAAGCATTTTAACTGTTTTCACCACTCGGGGGCAGGTTATCTAGCTGACATGAAATCTTGGGATGTAGCTAGGAGGGATAGTGTTTTATTTTTATTGTGGTACAAATATACATAACAAAACATTTGCCATTTCAACATTTTTTACATGTACAATTCAGTGACGTTAAGTTCACTGTGTTGTGCAACCATCACCGCTAGGGACAGTGATTTTACAGTGTCCCACCTTCACCGCCACTCCAACTGGGGATATAGTGGCTGTGGTTAAGAGCACAGATTTTGACTCAGGGTTTACATTCTGGTTCTGCCACTAACTAGCCAAGTGATCTTGGGCAAGTTACATCTCTCTGAGCCTGTTGTTTCACCTGTAAAAGTGGGATAAAGGAGTACTTTATAAGGGTGTTGTCAAGACTACAGGTGATGTTAAATGTGTTAGTACAGCATCTGGGATAAATGATAGCTATTTAATAAATGATAGCTATTTAAACTATTGTAGTAGTAGTAGTCATAGTTATTAACATGGTTAGGGGAAGCATACAGTGAGAGAGAAATATCAGGTCACATCACTCCCCTGAATAAAACCTGAGCTGAAGAGGGGTTTGAGGAAAATAGAGGGGGTTTTGGAATAAGTATTACAGCTGCCATTGATTTAGCATTTATGTGCCAGGCACTTGTCCAAGCCCTTTAAATGTATTAACTAATTCCATCCTCACGACAACTCTCTGAGGCAAGGTACTATTTATCACTTTCATTTTAGAGATGTAGAAACCGAAGCACAAAGTTCAATTAACTCCTGCCCAAGGTCATGCACCTAGTAAGTGGTAGAGCTGGGATTTGAACCCAGGCAGTCTGGCTGTTTGGAGCCTATACGAAGAACCACTAGTTTCCTGCCTTCCTAGTCCCCATGGTTTTTTCTTTTTTTTTTAGTCCCCATGGGTCAGGTATATGAAGGGTCATCAAGAGATGAAGAGGCTTGTGGGATGGTATACGGCAGGCCCAGGGGCAGTCAGCCAGTGTGCTTGTGCCAGGAAGCCCAAGGGTGGGAGCGGAGATAGTAAATGGGGTGAGGGGAGAGATACTTAGGGCTAGGCACAGTAAAGACGGGGTCTAAAGTATTCTAAAGTACTAGAGGAGTTTGCTGGGCAGACACAGCATGTGCAAAGGTCCTCAGATGGGAAAGGGCTTAGCTCATTGAGAGGAGATGAAAGGATAGTGTCAAGGGTACAGTGAGGGGAGGGTGTATTACTGGTACACAAATGGTTCACAATGTTACATTACTGGTTCGCAAATTCGTAATGGAGATTGGCAGGGCACAGATCCTTCAGGGTGGTGTTCCTCAAAATGCGGTCCAAGAACCCCTGCATCAAAATGCTCTTGGGTCCTTATCTAAAATGCACACTCCTACACCCCATCTCGGATCTGAATCAGAATTTCTAGGGGTGGAACCTGGGAACCTGTTTTTTAACAAACTTTCCAGGTGATTCTCCTGCATACTCAGATTTGAGACCCACCGGTACAGGGCTTTGCGAACCCTGGGAAAGTTGAGATTTTATCATAAACACACTGTGAAGTCACTGGAGGGTTTTCAACAGGGAAGTGATGAGACTGATGTAATTAAATCATGCTTAGGGGATAGGTACTACGCCCACTCCATTTTGTAGGTGAGGAAACTTATAGGTTAGCTAGTCCAAAGTCACACCCAGGTAGGAAGTGGCAAGGTCTAGATTAAAAACCAGGTTTCTATGAGATAAAGCAAATGTGGCAAAATCTTCACTGGTGAATCTGGCTTAAGTGTATAGGGTGTCCGTTGTATCCATCTTTCAACTTCTATGCTTGAAAAATTTCGTAATAAAAAGTTGGAAAAAGTAACCAGGACTAAATCCAAAGCTTAAGCTTTTTTCCACTATGTCATGCTGTGTCACTAAGCTAAGTGAACTTAAGTCAGTCATTGTGCCCTCTCAGTCTGACTTTCCCCATTCATACAGTGAGGAGATTGGATTAGATCATCACTAAGGTTCTCTCCCTAACAGTTCATGATTCCACTGTTACAATGCGTGGCTTTGGATTATTAAGCTACACCCAGAGCCAGATATTCAACTTGTCCTGCCATCAGAAATGCCCTAATGATTTTCCTCGAAGGGAAGCCCCGCAGCCGGGGATGTAGTTTCTTCTTGAACCTCTAGAAAGGATGGTCACTGGAGCTGCTTTGCCACACTGCCGGCCGCTGTCAGTGTCTATCCACTGGGGGGAAAATCGCTCTCAGAAGGAAACATCTGCCAAGGCTTTGGGTGGGGCTAGAAAAACTTCATGACAATGCTGAATCAGCACATTCATCAGGGTCAAGCTCAGAGTTGGAGGCAACTGAAAGAGGGAACTGGTTGAGAAGAAACCTCCAGCTGAGGCCTTTTCAGTCTCAAAGGGAATAGAATCAGAATTCAAACTCATCATGGAGATTGGCGGGAGCACAATGGCCCCCTGCTCAAATGAGGGGTTTCCTCTTAAAGTGCTAGCGTTCAGATTCGAGGCAAAAACACAAAACAACGGTGCTAAATCTATGGACCTCATCATCTCAAGAGGTAATAAAGGTTCAAATCTGGTTTTCAAAAGTTGTAAAATGGATTGTCTGAAAACAGGCTCTTTGGGGGATATGTCTAAACTACTGAGGTTATGTTAGCAAGGACAACTGGTTTCTCCCAAAATGTGTACACTGGGGCTTGTCAGATTTCTGGGCGAAGGGATCATGGCTCTAACCTAGCATGATACTTACATGCATTAAGAATAAACATCCTTTCCTCTAACAGGATCAGTTTGTTGTTCGAATCCCTAGGATTAATATAAGGGTAGTTGACTAGCCTCTTAAAGTATGTTACTTCTTTATTAGCCTCTGAAAATGCATGGCTTCTTCTCATTTCTAAAAACCAAAGCCACTGCTGTCGAGTCAATTCTGACTCATAATGACTCTACAGGACAGAGCAGAACTGCCCTATAGGGTTTCCAAGGCTGTAATCTTTATGAAAGCAGACTGCCACATCTTTCTCCCGTGGAGCAGCTGGTGGGTTCAAACCACCGACCTTTAGGTTAGCAGTCAAGTGCTTAACCACTGAGCAACCAGGGCTCCTCTTCTCATCTCTACTGGCAAATATACTGAAAATTCCCGCAAATGGTATTTCCCTGTAATGGGCCAGAAATGACAGTAGAGGCGTGGCTGATAAGGCTGCAGCATCGGCAAGTGGGACCCAGTGACATAAGCCTCCCTCCTCAGTTCCTCCTCACCAAGACCACACTTTTCCACATAACATGTATTTATTCAGAAGAAAATTTGCAATAAATTATAATAAAAAAGATGACACGAAAATACAGAATCCCACTAGCAGCTTTGCTTAGTGACCAAAACCTTTTGGGGAAATATAACAAACAATTACAGAATAAGAATCAACAGTGAAAGGGAAACTACTGCGACTTCACCACTAGGATCTGAACCATCTTTTCCCTGGAATCAATCAATGCAGAGTCCTTCTCGACCAGTTGGACGGGAAAGCCTACGTCAGAGAAGCTATGAAACGGTCCATTCGAGGTACTTAGGAATTAGAGGTTGGAGTCCTGGGATAGGCACTGGAGGGAAGCAGACTCCTTATGTCTGGTCTATTTCTTGTCTCCCCTACCCAGAGATTGTCAAAAACCCTCAGTCCTGTAGACATCCCATGACCAGACCTGGAAAGAAGGTGGAGGCAGTAAAGCAACTTAGTGTTTTTACCGTGCAAAGAAGGACAGCAGCACACATGCTGCATGCAGCCCCCACCAGCCACACCTTTGGTCATTCAAAGACCCCAGGTTGGCAGCACACTAGCAAACATGCCTAGGAGGGACATCTCCCTGTCTTCGTGTCACTACATTGACTCAGCACCTATAATCTGCCTCTCCTGTCATCACTTTCTGGCCTAGTGGAGATGACAAAACTCTTCTAATCTCAGTCTTCCATTAACTAAGTTCAACACCCATCCCCTGACTTATCAGATCGTCAGCTATTTGGCATCAATAACGATTGCTATTTCCCTAACTCATACTCAGGAAAGGGTTTCACCAGTATATTAGAAGATACGTACCTTTTCTTCCCCAAAGAACCCAACTTTCAAGAAATGGGAGAATTGGAGGGCTATTCAGTGGTGGTGTTCCCCACGCCCCTCTCCTTAGATGTACTGGAAGAGTCATGGAGTCAATGCCTGAGACCATGCCCAGAGCCTGGATGTTATGCTCCTCAGATTTAGTGTTAACAGGCAAGACGAAGTCGACTCAGAGTGGTTTAAATGAAAGAAACTCAGGAGGAAGCCAATTGTACCAGGCAGTTTTGCACAGTCCGTGGCTGGCGGCTTGTTTGCCAACCAATATAGATTAATTATTTTTTTAAAGGCTGCCCCCACTCAAGCTTGAATAAATATAAAGCTCAGAGGGCTGTCTCAAGTGGGAGAGCTAAGGTGCTTGGTTGGTCCCATTGTCCATAGTCTCTTTACACAGCACTGGACAAGGTGACTGTGGGAGCCGAGGGGAGTCTGTAAATCCTCTACTTGCAGGAGCTGGCTGTAGAGCCCAGAGTCGACTCTGCTGAGGGAGGGGGCTACATTTGTGCCCCTTGGTACGAGACCAGAGAGGGGGCTGGAAGGGTTAGCCTCAATACTCCTGCTGTGGGAAGGAGAAGTATCTCAGAGAGGCCAGTGTGAGGTACACAGACTCCCTTGTTCACTATGGTGCAAGTACTGCTCTGGAGGTGGATTTCTGAGGGATGGCTTCCATGGACACCCGGGATTTGCCCTCACCTATCATCTGAGAATAACAGGAAAAGGACAGGAGGAAGCAGGACCTGTCAGATGTGAATACTGTCACTCCTGAAATACTCAAAATGCTTCCATTCTGATGGTGATTCTCCCCCATCAATGGGATGTTATCTTCACTAGTGCCTAAAGTTATGCTACTAAATGTGATCCGAGACAAGAGAAATGTGGTTCCACCCAGTGCAGATCAATGAAAAGGCCAATGTTACAGAGATATGAAGACATTGCAGCGGAAATGCAGAAACGCATGTAACCACCACATGTAGACAGTTAACTCATTGTTGAAGATACCCAAGGAGTCACTAGCCTAACCCAGACTTCCTTCAGAGTGATAGTACTAGAGGAGTGGAGTGCAAAGGAGTGATACAGAGAGAGGGTGGGCCAAAGTGCTTTAGATGAAGGATTACAGACAAGTCTGAGCTACAGCAAGTAGTGTTGTAGGCCTAGAGTGGGAACATCTCAGAACCTAGACCTAGGGTGCTAAGGACAATCATGACAACTGGGTAGGAAGGTAACAAACATATCCCTAGGTAAAGGAGTGTAAATACAGATCTCTTTGCCTTATAAGGAGAAAACACAAAAACACCAAAATATGGTAACTTTGGCTTGGCAATATAAGTCTAAAAGTATTTTGCTGTATAGGATATGGTAAAGGGGTAGAGGAGGGATCAGGAAACTCTCTTCCTTTTGCATCATAAACAAAACCTTTTCATGACAACAGCCTTGAAACTGCAATAGACCCTTTGTGTGGCACGGCTTTTCAAACCATTCTGAAACACTTGGAGCCCAAGATCTTCCACCTCTGGATCCTGGAGAACTGTAAGAGGAAGAGAATTAGTCTTCATCGTTCCCAAGCAGGAAACTCAGAAGGAACTGGATAGCACGCTGGCGGTCACTTGGAGTCTGTCTTGCCATAAGGTTGGGTGGAGGCCTTAGGAGAAGACTAGTGAAGAGAGTGGCTAGAGGGTGAGAGAAAGAAAAGGGAAAAACCTTTGTCAGACATAACCTAAGTAAAACCTCAGAGTTGGGGCCCTGGGGGGACAGGGAATAAGGACAGTAGGGAAGTGACTGCCATGTGCTATACATTAAGTGGAGTCCCTAGTTGGTACAGATGGTTAACGCACTTGGCTGCTAACCAAAAGGACATGGAGTCCATACAGAGGTGCCTTGGAAGAAAGGCCTGGTGAGCTATGTCTGAAAAATCAGCCATTGAAAATCCTGCGGAGCACAGAGCTACTCTGACACACATGAGGTCGCCATGAGTTGGCGCCAACTTGACAGCAACTGGTGTACATTATGTAGGGTATACACTGTACAAACTGTACACAGGTTGTCCTTGACAGACACCCACAAGCAGCCATCATTATGGAGCATGCTTACCGATCATGTTGGCACTGACATTACTATATTCTGAGAATTTTAAGAGTTCTCGAAGGAAACCCATCAAGTAGCGGAAAACATTTCTATGGCATCTTGGAAGCTGTGAAATCACCTGTTTTAAAAAAAAGGGGGGGTTACAGGGGAAGTCAGCACAACTGGACTAAACCAAAGCTAAGAAGTTTCCTGAATACAATCAAATACTTTGAGAGACAGAGTAGCAGGGATGGGGGGTCTGGGGACCATGCTTTCAGGGGACATCTAGGTCAATTGGCATAACAAAGCTTATTAAGAAAATGTTCTG